GGGGGGGGGCACAGCTTGCAAAGGCAAATTACATAGCTGGATGACCATATCACAGAACCCGAGCAGATGGAAGCAGTTAAGGACAGATAATGGTGATGGCAGCTAACTTAAACACCCACAGAGAGGATTACATGACTAATGTTAGGGAAACACTTTGTGCTAAAGAACACATTGTGACTTCAATGGCTAAACGTTTCCATGTACTGTTGCTTCGGGAATATCATGGAAGGAGTTCAGTCCCAGGACAGCTGTGGCAGAAGCTACAGACTGACATTAAATTAAAATTCATTTAACGCTGTTCATAATAGAGTTGTGTTTTTTGAGGAAGCAATAGCAAAGGGCTCCCTTGACGACAAACAAAGGGGATTCCTGCATTGGATTTTGGAATCTTTCAGAAAATGCAATCGGTGGCCAACAAATGTTTATGACACTAACACATTTTGTAAAGCTAATAAAAAAGCATGACGGTCACATGACTCCACATTTCAATCCCATTGTGTGCGAAGTGCCGGTGTTTACTCCATGTATCTTTCATGTGGAAACTCTGCAGCCTTATGGATAATCTCATTTCTGTCTGCTTTGTCTTCAGTCAGTGTTTCAGGATTGAAATGCATAAGAGGAAAATATTTGTTGGAACTTGCACCAAGCAAAGGAGATCATTTCCCAGAGGATCTGTTGAATAAAACATTTCTGAGTTTGAGATGAACAAAGTGTCTGTCTTCCCTCTGATCACTGAAGTCATTTTTAATAAACGTGATAGCAGATCATTAGCTGATATCACTGCACACATTCTTTGTGAACATAATTACTTAAAGTCTCACTCGTCAAGATAATTCTTCAGGTGAATGACTCCACCAAGCCTTATCCCCCCCACTGGAATCCTCTTTAAAGCCCCTCTCATTTTCTCTGTGTTTGACGGACAGCTTCGGAGCAGCGCTGATATCATAGTGAAGAGCCAAATAGTTTCTCAGCTTGAGGACACAAGTGCAAATGTTGGCCACCTCTGTTTGAATCAAAAGCATCTTTATTCCATTCATGCTGCAGACAGTCTGAAAGAAAAAACAGGTCGCTGCATGAATACTAATAGCAGCCGCTCTGCTATGCATCGCTAATGTGGTCAGAAAACGTTCACACTATAAAATCACTGAATGTGCAAATCTGAGTTATGTTTGATTAAAATGAATGTGCTTTTTAAATAGCTCTGTTTTGCAGACGTGCTGATTTATTTAGACTTGTTGGGGATGAATGGCATACTGAAGGAGAGTTATGTCAGTGTAAAATATTCATTTGTACGACAGACAGAACAAGCAGAGCTGCTACACCTCGAGACATATTTCAATAAATGAATCCTGAGAAGTCACAGCGTCCACCCAGGCCTGTGGAGTATTTTAAGTTCATGGCAGTGGCACACGTCTTGAGTTTCCTCTTCTAACCCTGTGACACCTTGAAACCTGTGTCTAATAATAGCCTGCACCCATAGGATATTTAAAGGAGGCTTATAATCCTTTGGATATTTGAAATCAGGATAAAAAAAGCTTTGTTTGAGTTGGCACTAATCAAAATCTCTATTTTATTATTGAGTATAAGCTTACTAGGAAAGGTGTTCCTAAACTGTTGGCAGGTTAAATCATCATCAATCAAAAATAAGGTGCCAAGATTTTTGACTCAATGTTGGCAAAGGTCAAAGGGTCAACTACAGTAGGTATGCATATTAACCCAAATGTCATGACAATTTCATGTTTGGCTGCTACTTTTTATGATGTGTTTTATCAGGCTGATATGCTGGATGGACACATGGACCACATTTGCATTTTTATTTATCAATTTAAACTGACAAGAATATGTGTGAATCCAATTGTTTGACTATTTACTTTGCTTTAATCTAATCATATTCAAGTAAAATGCTTTTTGTGAATTAGACGATTTAAAAGATATTATTCATACCCATGAAATTAGCTGTAGCTTTCGTTGATTTTTAGCTTAATTTTGGACCTCGTTATGGTTAATCATAGCTTTTTTTTAATGACCACACCCTTCATCGCACATGATTGGTTAAAGTCCCTGTACAGCTTCGTTCTTATTGGTCGATTTTTGTCAACATGCAGCCACTCTGTTCCAGCTGTGTCAAGTTACATAGTCAAGTTGACAATACAGGAAGTCAGACAGTTTAGCACAAAATACATGTGCAACTTTAAGAAATTACTAATTCAGTTAATTTTTTAGGGAAACATTTTTGTTTTATTTTTGTCTAGAACACATTTTTCTCTAAAAGGAAACAATAAATGTCTCTTTGGACCTTAGCCTGACTTAATAAACGTTACCATGCTGATAAATATCCATTCTTTTGAAAGTCCGGACCGGAAGTTATGTAGCCACCATCTCTTCCTGGTTGATGTGGACACCGGAGAGCTGCTGGGTGAGGTCTGTTGTTGTGGCAGAGTAAATAATGGAGAAAAATAGGAAAGTTGAGGCGGAAAAGCCACGGGACTTATCGAGTTAGTTCGGTTTTCAAAACATGTGTTATCCCGGACTTTAAGACGTTTCTCCCGGAGCTTCCCTCTCATTCCTCCAGTGAGTGTAGCGGTGTTTAGCCCTCTGTTGGCGGTTAGCTGCTAACGCTACATGCCAGTGCACTGCACCTGCCACTAGCTTCTTTGTCTCACTTATGTCGGTTTATTCAGTTTCTATTGTCTCTTTGTTACTTAAACTTCTAGACAAACAAGTTGGCTATTAATTCTGCTCACGTCTTCAATGTGGAAGTCGTCTCTATCCGACAACAAGCAGCACCGCCACAGCTAACGACCAACAAAGAAGATGAGGAGACATGAACTCTGAGTGTGTCCCACTGCAAACTTCTCAACCCAAATAGTCAACTCGTCTTGAAAGAAAGAAGAAATGGCGTCCTCCAAAGCAAAGGTGGGAGTCAACATTGAGACAAACCTACTGAAGGAAAGTAAGAGCAGCAGTTCGGCTGGAGAACCATCCCTAAATAACAGGACATACAGCCTGGATGACCTGGAGACCCTGGCCACAGTGGGTGAGTGACCGCAATGCACTTAGTAACAAATCAATGTATGAAATAATACAGTAGTGTGGGTATTAGACCTCCATACTGTAGTAATTAGTATTAAAATGGTCCAGTAGATCTGCAACTAATGATAGTGTTTAATATTTGATGACTGAGTTTATTTGGTTTATGGAAGCATAATCCCACAAATAAAATGGAAGTGTTGATTATAAACAAAAACATTTTCAATTTATATGAACAGTGTTAAACATTACAAAAACTGATATGTCAAATTGAGAGGCTTTAAATGTAGCTTTAAAATATATAATAAATCAACCAATGTTTTCGTTTTAATTTCCTAGTCATTTGGCAATTATTTCTTCTAAATAAACAATATAAAAAATATACTGTGCGATGCTTATAGAACAGTTCAAATGTGTCCTTTTCATCACGATTCATGGTTAGTTTTCTCTATTTCATTGAAGCATAGTTCTAGTAGGATTGTTGTGTTAACAAGTGAAATGTTGTCACTGTCTAAGATGCTCCATCAAATCATATAACAGTGATAACAATTTTTCTGTCATGTGATTGGAATCAGATGTGTATCAAGGTTTTCAATAACTAGATAGCCTACAATAACCAGTGACATTTAACAAGACATCCAACCAACCAATCAGCTGGAAGTTTAGTCCACAAGTCCAGCATCTCTAACTGGGTCATACTGATGTACTGATACAGGTCTTTTGTTGATATTGAGATAAATGTGGCAGCTCTCTTTTTGATATAGTGCTTTCATGATATCATCTGAACTGACATCAGTTGTTTATCAATGTCACCCAGCCACAGCTGACCTACTTTTACCTACATTTAGTTTGTATGAAGCTGCTGAGGTTGGTTTTCAAAAAACTAGAGGAATAGATATATTGTGCTTTCATCAAAATACTTTTCTAAATCAGAGTTTGACGAACAGAAACAAACAGCCACAGTCATGTTCCACGTGAGAGCGGTATGTTCCAGTTTGCGAAAAGGCATTCAGGCAACAACCTGCCCTTCAGGAGTTAGTCAGTACCGCTTGTTAAAGTTAAAAGAATCACACCTACATTCTGGGATTAAACAACAGCTTCCACCTGGTCCACCCTTCGCTGACTCAAGGAGTGACTAAAGGAAAAGGAATCAAGACAAAAAGCTTGCACCAATACAGATCTACCTTCAAAATAAATGTATCCTTTCGCAATAAAATACCATGAACAATGACACATAAGTCACCTGATTTCACAGCCAGGTTAGATAGCTCATTTTAAAGAGATCTTAACACAAAGGTACAACTCACAGATTTTACACATATTTATTTAGTAGGCCTACTCTTAAGCCAGAGATGGAGTACTCGAGTCCTCGAGTCGGACTCGAGTGTCGATTTTCGTGACTCGACTCGGACTCGTGCACTGATTGACGCGACTGGGACTTGGACTCGTGAATTCTTGCGCACGATGACTCGGACTGGTGAATTCTCCCGTACGATGACTTGGACTCGGACTCGTGAATTTTTCCCCCCACGATGACTCGGACTCGACTTGTACATTGACGCTCCGACTTTGACTCGGACTCCAGCAAGTTTTCTCTGGAGTCTGATGTCCTCTATCCTGGCATGTGCACCTTTGAGGTGAGTTCAGTACTGGGCCCCGCTATTCCAGTCTAGAGATGTCTAGAGACACAGCCCGCGTGCTGTATGCTTTCACACATTCTGGTTCCACATTGAGAAGAGCAATGTGCCTGTGAGCAAATGCTCATTATGTGGAAAAAAGATTGGAGAGAAGGCTCCGTAACACATTACTCTAAGGATCGAGTTCAGACATGGCTGTCTTGAACACTATCATCAGAGTAATGTGATCTAATCAATAAATAAAGATTCAGCTGATAACACGAAAGCACATGGCTACTTGACATGCAGAATGACATCATTTTGCATGCTAAGTAGCCATGAGCTTTCTGGGGCTCAATCTTTATCGGTAAACCGATTTAACCGGTAAAAGTTCCTTCAAAATAAGAGTCCTGATCTTATTACTATCAAAATAAAACTGCAAAACGAAAACTTTACCATAGGAAAATATTGGCATACAAATGTAATCACTTCTCTCATTTTAAATATAGTTAGACATATTAAAGGTAATTTACAATAATATGAATATGAATATTAGTAATAAGCTTTATATTTGTATAGCACCTATTACAAGAATTGTAGCCAAACTCGCTTCACAGCAGTTCAATAGACAGATTAGTATAACATGACAGGATAAAATCAATTTAGAGGAGCAGCTACATTTCAACACATATATCCACGAAGATTAATAAATGAAGACTTGTGACTCGGGCTCGACTTGGACTCTTCTTAGGTGACTTGGACTCGGACTCGAACACAGGTAATGATGACTCGGACACTCCTTGGGTGACTTGGACTTGGACTCGGACTCGAATACAGGTAACAATGACTCGGACTCGACTCGGACACTCCTTGGGTGACTTGGACTCTGACTCGAATACAGGTAACGATGACTCGGACTCGACTCGGACACTCCTTGGGTGACTTGGACT